ACACGGAAAAAAAAAAAAAAAAAAAAAAAAAAAAAAAAAAAAAAAATTAAAATAAGTAAATAAAAATGTTGTCTCCTAACTGGATTGTTGAGATAAAATGAGCCAGTGAGCAACAGCACTTTGAAAAATTGGTGTAAAATATTTCTGAGATACAGTTTTTGAAATTTTTTAACAGTTATATACCAAAATGCCAAGTTTTTCACACATTATCAGGCTTAACTATAATTTTGAGTTGTAAAATGTGTACATTATAAATATTGTACATAGTTAAATATGTTTGCTTAAGTAATTCTGTTTTGAAATTTATAAATTAATAGAAGTCAGACCAACGGGCAAGCTTGTAGATGAATAACTCCTTGTGCTATTTTGATGTATATGTCTTTTTCTGACTCCTAAATTAAACTCAAAGTGTTGGGTTTTTGTGGTGTTTTTGTTTTGTTGTTTAGAATACTGCTCACAAACGTCATTTGAGGTTAATCAGTTCCCTATCTTAGTATTTTATTTTCAAAAACATGCTTTAAGAGACATCAAGAAAGATATATACCAAACATAACCACCCTCCTTCAACCAAAGTTTCTCTTGCCTAGGCCAGTAATTCAGATGGAGGTGCACTTGTGAACCACCTATGAACCTTTAAAAAAAATTCAAGTGCCTGAGCCGTACCCCTAGAGAGACTCAGTAAGTCTGCAGTGAGACCCAGGCAACTGTATTATTTTTGAAAGCTCCAAGTTTATTCTAATATATGCTGAAGTTGGAAAGCAACTGCTCTAAATACAGAACCCATTTATATTTTGTGGGGGGGGGGGTTGCTTTTTTTTTTTTTAAATAACACATTCCATAAATTTACTGTTTCCTCAATAAACAAAATACTAACTTTTATTTCTATTATTTCAGCATGCAAAAAAGTACAAAGATGGGAGTGAAAGAAATATTAACATTTGTTACTTTGTGGTAAATTAGAGTTCATAGTTACATGTTCTATATTGTAGGAGGGATATTTAGATTGTCTTTCCAGCAGTAATAATTGGCTTCAACTAGTCATTGATAGCTTAAATCACTCCTCCCTTTGAAAACTGAGGTATTCAAATAGGAAAAGAGCAGTGTTCTGGAGATAAAAATGTATACAGCATATTCAAATAAAAGTAATCAGTAATAGCTAAAATTTGAATAGTTCTTAGTATAGGCCAGGAGGGGTTCTAAGTATTTTATTAACTCAGCATAGTTTCACTAAAGCCCAGGTTTGATGGACAGGAGTACCAAGAGATAAAGTTTGAAAAGCCAAGAATGCTAGGTGAAAGAATTCTTCCTGCAGGCACTGTGGGGAAAAAAAACTGGAGGTTTTTGAGCAAAACATTACATCTGCAAAGAAATATGGAAGATTATTCTTGTTGCAGTATATAGAATGAAATGAACACAGTAAGGAGAGAAGGAAGCTGGGAGTCTGTTTGGAAAATACATTTTCAAAAGCAAGGTGAGTAAGACTGATTAGATATGGTTTGGGGGAAAAGGAATGGAACTGAAAGAATTTCACAGGAAGAGCTAACGTTTTAGTGAAGCTGAAGAAGAAAAACAGGAGAGAGAAAGATGGGATTCAAGAGTTATTTCGTTTTTAGCGTCAGTGCCCAAAAGAAGTTATCTAACACTTACTGAGCAGTGACACAGAGGGCATTACTGCCTCAAATGTATGAACAAATACTCAGAATTTTCTATCATTCATCACTTTATTGTTTCGGCATGCAAAAACGTACAAAGATGGGTTTGAATGGTGGGCCCAGTTCTACCTCGGCTAATGATCTAGAGGAGCACTGTCCAATAAGAATACAATAGAAGCCATATAAAAGTATATATCTTAAATTTTCTAATACCCAACTAACGAGTCAAGCAGGTGATGTTAGTTTTAGTTTCTTATTTAATCCTGTATACCCAATAACATTTCAATATGTAATAAATATTTTAAAACTTGATGAAATATTTTTTCTACATTTTTGAAATTTGGATGTATCTAATACAGCACATCTCAATAAACTAGCCTCATTTCAAGTATTCAGTAGCCATATATGACTAGTGGCTACCGTAAAGAACAGCACAGATCTAAAGAGAAAAGTACCCAGTGAAAAAATAAAACGTGCTCAGGAGGAAGTAAGCAGACCAATTTGACTAGAGCAGCGAGTTCATTCCTGGCAACAGTGGGAGTTGTGACTGGAAAGGTAGATTATGAACAATATGGAAGGCCTTAAATACCATGCTGTAAAGAACTTGAACTTTCTCTAACAATTTTTCATTGAAGGTTGAGTCCTTAATTGTAACCCAACTAAAGAAGAGCTTAAGGGTACCAGGTGTGGGTTACTACTCATATGAACCCCCACTGAGCTATTAAGAGGGCCAAAAAGCCCTCAAAATCTGATCCCAATGCTTGAGAGCATAATCAGTGCTCAGTAAATCTTTGTTGAATTTAAGATCAATGTAAACAGCTACAGTGGTTAGTGGATCCTTCCTGATCCTCCAGACATTGAAAAGCTCCGTTATACCTTCTTTAAGCTGAGTCATAGGTTTTCACATTAGACTAAATATCCACCACTGTTTCTAAATTGTAAGAATTGGTCCCAAGGATTCCTTCTAGTCACTTCTCTTTTCAGAGACCACCCTAATTCACCCAACATCACAATATAGAATTATTGTAAATGCTATAAAAGTATCCTGTCACCCACTTTGCTTATCAATTTAAAACCGTCCTCCTAGCTTGGAAGAAAAAAAAAAGTGCTGATCCAACTAACTCTCACATATACATTTGTTCAGCACCTTCAATTTTGCAAAATGCTCTCACGTATATTTCATTTAATAATGGAAGTAATGACTGCTCTTTACACACCAGGGAACAAAATAAGATGCTGTGGAATTAAAATTACAGGAACATTATAATTTAGGCCTAAAACCTTTAATAGTAATAATCACTAGAATTGTATGGGGTACTGGAAAGAACAAGGAAACTGGCAACAGAAAACCCTGGTTCAAGTTCCCACTCTACTTTTCAATGATTAATGATCTTGGGCAGATGCCTCTGAACCTTACTTTCCTCCACTATAAAATAAGGTTATATGATTTATCACGGGGGTGTGATTGGAGTACAGTGAGACATGGACTCATTTTACTGAACAAAGAATAGGAGGTCTAGATGGAAACTATGTTCCCTGCCAATGAAGCACCAATTAATTGGCTAACTACTTGGCTGGATGTTGTGCATAGGGGTTTGGGTAAATACATGGGTAGGAATGATGATTAGATGACCTCAGATTGCTTTTTAATACTGAAAAATCTAGTATCCCTTATGACCCAGGAACTCAGAAGATTTACATTTGTAGAAAAAAAAATCCGACAACTCACTGCATTCTACTGACTTTGTGTGTGGGGGGGGGCGGGGGAGCAGCTGGCTAGTACAGGAATCGAACCCT